GCGTTTTCACGTGATGTTCGTTCATGGCCAACTGCCCTTTTGGCACTGCCTGAGTAGCCGCCAGTATAACTCAAAAAGAAAGAGAGTAGCCGCCATGGAAATATATGTACATACATACATTGCACTATTTGATCCAATAATGAAGTCGATGATGCTACTAGGATGGCATTGGACAGTGCTCCCCTCCAGCGTGGGGGGTGCACGGATCAAATCAGAGCCTTCAATAATTGATATCAATTATTTTCTTTTTTGAGATCAAATCTGCCACTTTGTACGCCCCCCACAAAAAATGGAAAGGAATAATACTAGGAAGCGAGCAACAAACAAAGAAAAAACACATGCACCGCATATATACCAACCAATCATGCATGTGCAAAATGTGTCAGCGTGGCGTATGAATACATTCTATGCAGAATTCCATGCTCTCGTCACATAGTATAAGTTTTTCTACAAAGATTTGGCGGCTGTGCCAGCTTGTTTCTCATGTCAAACCGTTCTTCCTCCCCTTCACGCTTGCTGATTTTCGGGGTGCATATGTACGTAGTATCCAGCTCAATTTGTTAGAAGGGTTATCTATCTATACGCGGCAGCTAGTTTCGTAGCAGCACGGGAGTCTATCTATCTCCACATTTAACCCAGCACAGATGATGCAAAAGTTGTCCACGAGTTCGCAGCCCGCACAAAACGAATTCGCCCCCACAAGTCCCTGACGTTAGCCTAGCCCATAGACAGATCGTGCGACGTCACGGGGTACGTTAGCTCCTTCTCCTTCCTCGGCTCCACCACTCTATATAAGTGCCAATCTCTTTCTCATCCGCATCTCCTCATCTGCAGGGCCAACGGCCAAGGAAGAAAGCAAAGCACGCACGAGGGGGACAGCAGCGGCGGCCCATTCTCCCCTGTCGGCTTCCTCTTTCCTCCGCCTTGTTGCCGCCGTCGGCGGCGGGCGGGAGGGATAATAGGTAGAGGATGGACGACGCCGGCGAGATACACGCGTTCGGGCGCAGCCTGCGGCGGGAGAGCTCGGTGTGGTCGCGCGGCGGGGACGACCTGTTCTCGCGGTCGTCGCGGGACGAGGACGACGAGGAGGCGCTGCGATGGGCGGCGCTGGAGAAGCTGCCCACCTACGACCGCGCGCGCACGGCGGTGCTGGCCATGCCGGAGGGGGAGCTCAAGGAGGTGAACGTGGAGAAGCTGGGCGCGCAGGAGAAGCACGCGCTGCTGCAGCGCATCGCCTGGGTCGGCGACGACCACGAGCGCTTCCTCTCCAAGTTCAAGGACCGCGTCGACCGGTACGCCTCCCTACTCGCCTGGCTTGAGCTCCTCCCTTCCTGCTCCCGGCGACGGCCAGGGTAGCTCCTAACATTGGTCGCGTGCTGATGATGCAGAGTGGGGATCCAGCTGCCGACGATCGAGGTGAGGTACGACAACCTCAACGTGGAGGCGGAGGCGTACGTGGGGAGCAGGGGCCTGCCCACCATCCTCAACACCTACGCCAATGTACTCGAGGTACGTCACAAGATCTAACACAAGGAAGTACTCTTACACTTCATTTTTTCTTTCTACACGTTGACTGTCGAGCCTGCGGTGAGAGTTAACAGAAATAGATTGAGTGCACGACCAACAGTGAAAACTGTGACTAGGAGAGAAAGCACAATACACTGATGTTGACTGGTTTCCGAAAAAGATCGGCAGACTTGGCTACCCATTTTCTCTCCCCCATCTCTTTCTAATCTGGTAAACGTCAATTAAACAAGAGCAATATTACCACCAAAAAGGTCACTAAGCTGGTAATACCACAAGGTGTCAACAACAAGTGTCAAGTGGCACTAGGCCTCGCATGTCATCATCCTTCCACTGGATGATATTTTACTCATCTTTGCAATGGTACTGACAGCTGACACACGTTCCTCACAAATATTTCTTGTTCCAAGCAGAAGCAAACAAAGTCGGAAGCATAAGAGGAGCTAGCTGTACAAATCCACAGGCCATGTTAAGCAGTGATGTGCGTAACTGCCGCGACATTTTGATCCCGTGCTAACACACCAATCCTAAAGATTTTGAAAAACAAAAACATTATTCTCCATTCGGAGTCAGTAAGGAAACTGCCTCGGATAAAAAGTCAAGTTTGCTCACTGAAGCTCCGAACGTTAGGATAACTGCAAATCCAGCGTAATGGTCTATTATGCAGCTTCAGTGTTAGGAGTTACAAACATGCAGGACTCCTATTGCATTCATTAACCTTAATTTTTGTACTTGCATAATATGTACTCTTACATGGTGGCACTCGTCTTCAAACAGGGCTTGGCAAATGCTCTCCACCTAACACCAAACAGGAAGCAGAAAATATCAATCCTTCACAATGTCAGTGGAATCATCAAGCCTCACAGGTAACTTCTAGGCATGCTCTCACTTGGCAAACCATCTCCATTGAATTGTACCTTATCCCCTCCATATTTAGGATGACCTTGCTTTTGGGCCCCCCTGGCGCGGGAAAAACCTCACTGCTTTTGGCCTTGGCCGGAACCCTGCCTTCGAGTCTTAAGGTGCGTCATTTTTTCTTTTGGTCGTTCTCTTCTTCATCATGGTACTTCATTTGTTCTTGGTGCACCATGATTGTAACTTGCTAGTACTGACATGAAAAAAACATTGCAATCACAAAAGATGTCAGGGGACATAATTTACAATGGCCATACCATGGATGAGTTTGTGCCACGGAGATCGGCAGCTTATGTTAGCCAACATGATCTGCATATGGCGGAACTGACTGTCCGTGAGACGGTCAACTTCTCTGCAAAATGTCAAGGAATTGGTCACCGTTACGGTAAGAACAAGAAAGATGGAGACCTCAAAACTCATCATGGTAGCATATTGCATTGAGTAACCTGAATTTCGTACGAAATGATCAGACCTGCTAATGGAGCTATCCAGGAGAGAAAAGGAAGAAAATATCAAACCAGATCCAGAAACAGATATCTACTTGAAGGTACTACAGTCGTTGCATTTTAAATCATAGTTCACCGCATTCAGCGGTTGGGACT